CCGCCGATAAAATTGGCGGGGGTGGTGGAGGGCCTCTATAACTCGTTTTTGCTAAATTATACCTTAAATTGACAATATGTGTTGAGAAGAGATTGAATTTATTAAAAGCCTCTGTATAATTGCTAGTAATTATAGAGACTTTGATACATACTAGTAATTATGTTTGGTATAAAAACGTGAAAATTTGCATAAAGAAACATAACTTCGTAATTTTATAAGATATTATAAGATAAAATTCATTAAATTAACTTGTTTGAATTTTCAATTTCGTTTATTAAAATTCAACAACTTTTATTTCCATATGTAGGAGATGCGAAATAAAAATTTTTTCGTTCGAGGTCCTATTCAACTATGGATAGTCGGCACGCTTTTGTCCTGAGGATTTAGTACAGAGACGAACTACATCTACTTTCAAAGATACGATTTTATCGATAGTGCTGGAAAGCGTATATATTAGTCACGTGGTTCCCAAACTGAAAATGAGTGTAATAGCGGTAGTGTATGGGTGATTTCGACGTAACAGGAAGAAGACCGGCATGGCCTCTCTCAGGTTTCTCTCTGCTATGACTTTTATTCCTATACTTGTCGAGAGGGCGTTAAGTGCATGCAAGTTTAGAGTAATTTAGGGTATCGATTATGTATCTTTTTTCCTAAAGCGAAAACATGAAAAATGAAAAATTTATTATGATGTGTGCATGTACAGTGTAGTGCATTAATTCGCTTGGTCGTTGTAGCGGCCCGACTTACCGAAAATAAGAAAATGCAGTAATAAAAAGTTCTGAAAAAATTCTTAGAGTTCTACGAAAAGAAAATAAATTATTTTTGTCTCTTACAGTTTTTCTGTAAAGTTGATAGTATTTGAGTAAAAAATAAACGTCGATAAGCCGGGCCGCTACTATGACCCAGCGAATTAATGCACTGCAGTGTACATACATACAACAAAAATTTCACTTTTTACATTTTTGCCCTAGGGAAAAAGATACATAATCGATATTCTGAACAGCAATGGTGCAATAAATTAGAGTGAAACAAAAATTAGTAATTAGGAAAATAAAAAAACACGAGCAACGTTCATTGGATCTTTAAAATTAAACTAGTTTATTACAACATACATTAAGACTTAAACTAGTTTTTTTATCTATAAATTAATTGGAAACGTTTTGACCTAAATCTTCTTCTATAACATACCGAGTTCACATATACAAAAAATAATTAAAAATTGGAAAGAAAGATACAATCGAAAACATGAAGTCATATCACAAGTTGAGCACAATAAATTTAACATTACATATAAAATTATATGGTCGTTGGGTGGCGAGGAAAAGCAAAGTCTAAAATTAAAATTCTATTATTAAAGTTATCTTCAGAAGAAGACTTAGTACAAATGTTTCCGATTAATTTATAGATAAAGACCTAGTTTAATTTTACAGATTCAATAAACATTGCTCGTATTTTTAACCTTTCTAATTACTAATTTTTGCGTAGCAATCTTGAGCTAGATATTTTACATATTTTAGTTTAAAGTGAGACAGTTATAATTTGTTTCACTCTGATTTATTGCACTAAATTCAGAACTAGTCCAAAATTCTTCGAACAAGAATAGATCTTTATGTATAACAGAATTATAAAAATCATATTTTCTAAATCGTGATAAAAACTAGATTAACTATGGTCTTTTTATACATCAGTTTTTATTATAAAAATTATCTCCTTTACGGGACAATAAAAAAACTAGACAATATTAACGTATCAAAACATAAGTTTCCTCTTACACAAAATCTACTTTTATAATTTCATATACAAGACTATGAACATTCGAAAACGTAAAGGTGATAGAAAGTATATTAATAAATATACATTTTAATTCAATATAATTATTTTTTATTTTTTTTCTATCATTAACATTTGCAATGTCAATACAGAATCGCAATACCAGAAGAGTCTATACAATTTATTATCTACATAATACCCGCTTAGTATTGTTAGCCGATTACATTTGGCATAGCATACAAGTGAATGAGTTAATTGTACAAAAACCGACGTATGCAGCTATAGCCCCGAACATTACTCTGTCTCTTCTGCCACCTGATAAGTATACTGGTATATCCTTTTTCAATGCTTCCTGCAAACAAGATGAAACGTATTGTAAAGTAAATCTATGTTCAAAATCTAATTGCAGCTGAAAATTATCGTTATGTATACTTACCCCATAGTGCTTGTACTTTGTCCACAATTTTGTGTCAAGGGTGGCTGGTTTACCACCAGTGCAATAGCCTGATTTGGGCGTAACCGTCAAAGGTTTTGTCTTGATGGAGTCATAAATTATTACTGGCTCTGATTTCTGTAAAGGAAGAGGAGACTGAAACAACATTAAAATATTTACTGCTTATTTATTTTATAAGCATGTTTATTTATTGCACCCAAGTAGCACACAGCGCTTACAAAGCATTAACAAAGCGCTACTGTGCTACTTGTGCATATATATTGAATGAAAATATTAATGGTTGTATTCAGCAGAGAAAGCAGCTTTGCAACTGTTGTAAAATTCTTCAATACACGATTGGTTTTTGCTTTCAATTCCTTATAGATCTAAATGTATAAAACAATCATATACTACGTTTATACGGCATCCTTAATCGAATTTAATAACATCTGTAGTTATGAAACTGACGAATCATAGCTATTCTGTGAAGAATGGAATGACTGATTGGCTAATTTTACAACTAGCAACAGATATTATTAAACCTAATTAATGGTGTGGTCGAGTTGCCATTACGAATGCTTCGAAGCATTTGATTAACCAATCGGAAGAAAGAATTTTACTAATTGATCAATCAAAAAATGCTTCGGAGCATTTGTAGCAGCAACTCGATCACACCCTAAGGGTGCCATGTAAACATAGTCATAGTTCACCATGCATAGTTCAAGAATTTTACAACAGTTGTAAAGCTGCTTTTTCTGCTGAACACAGCCAATGTATTTCAACTAGAATCGTTTTGTTTTTCTCTTTCTCTCTGTCTCTATATATACATATACCCAAAAATATATTCATAGAATGTAGACTTGTTATGTATTTATATGTACGACACTTATCATTTTGTTTCCAAAATATTACGTGTTAACGTATGATAGACCGATTTAAGATAATATATAAGCTAATATAAACTTCATTCATTATGTTAGTTAACATCATTATAGCATATTATGTCAATATAAGATCTGATAAAGATGTTACATGAACGCAGGTCCGTATTCGACATGGCTGAATCACTGCTCTACGTTCAACAAAATCAGATCTGATAACCAAATGACGATCGATCTGAAGAGCGAGAACATACTCAAGAAAGCAAAGCGAGCACTGAGATTCCACGGAACAATGAAACGAGCAATTTGGTGACATCCTCGGACAGAGATGTGCAGAGATCAAGTATAGTCAGTCAATGAATTTTCGTGTGCGAGATACAGATTACGTGCATCCGTACTTACAATAGGATACAGCGGCTGAAAATTGGTGGACGGCTTCAGCTTGCCAGTGAATGAATTATATTGGTAAAACGGCATTTTTCGCAATTGCGTAATCAACAATCACCAGACGACTTCGTTGTGCCTCTGCACTCTGCACAACTTTGCGGCCATAGACTGTCATAGATTGTAAATTCTGCAGCCGCAAGTGGCGCAGCTGCAAGCGGACATGATTCTTTGGCGGGAAGACAAACGACATTGGTGATTTTAGAGACAACAAAATTGGTGATTTCAGAGATAAGAGGTTAGTGATGAGAAGGATCAAAAAGAAAGAATCTTAAGAAAAAAGATTTCCTATAAAATTAATAATTTTCTATAAAATCTTCCATAATCTCGTTTCATTAACACATTAAATGTGCACCCTTTGAATTCTATCCAGCGAAATGAAAAGAGTTTCAAATATTTAATAGATCAATAATTCGCGCAATCTATTTAAAAGATGATGGCCCGTATTCAAAACGCGCAATAGCTTTCCATTTACATCAAAACTCAAAAGATAACTCTAATCTGACGTCATAACTCTGTTAAATGTACGTTCCTTTTTATTCTGATAAGTATATTCTGATAAGAGATTTAATTAGGGCCTCTTTCACCAACTCCGATTAACGATTAATCGCTGGTTAACTCAAACATTATGATTGCCAAAGACAGAACTAAACACAGTTTTATCCGTATTCATAGTCAGATCTTGACTTAAGGCGATGCTAAAACCTTCTGTTTTACCCACATTTCCACTCGTGAAAAATCTCCGAATTGGATTTACAAATTGCAAAAGTATTATTACATAAATTAAAGTACGCACAAACAGGATGTCAGCTGTACTGGATTTCATGAGAAAATCGAAAAAAAGTTAAAAAAATTCACTTATTTTTGGCTCGTACAGTTGTCATCTCAGATTTGCTTGATATAATAAGAGTTTTACCCCGGATCTACAATAGGGTTTTAAGCCTTAAGCCATAAGAAATGGGCGAATCACAGTCGCTTATTCTTCTCGGATTCGACTGTAATTGGTCAGTTTCTTACGGCATAAGGCATAAAACACCTATTGTAGATCCGGACTTAGAGTCCATATCTTAAAAATAAGCGTGCAGCTGAGGTCACATTACTGGAACAAACGATACCGAGTTTGTAGAACTAGGATTGAAAGTCTAGAAGAAAAGTATTTTCACCGAATGAAAAATACGTGTATACGGATGCTTTGCGAAGACTGGAAGCCGAAATTCCGTGCAGCAGTAGTTGCGCAGCTTGCAATAGCCCACACAGCAAATGTATCAAAAATACATCTTAGAGATATCTTAAAGATATATTTGGGATATGAGATAAATTTAAGAAAGTTTTAAATATAAGGCTGACTATAAATACGGGCATTTATCTCAGAAGAGGAAAAGAGAGGAGATGTTCTAATACATTAAACTGCCATTAGCATTGCTGTGAGTTAATCGTCGATTAATTTAGAAGGACCGGATTTGATGAATTCTCTAGAAAGATCATAGCAACCAATTTAGTTCCAAGCACATTTTTTTGTAAATAACAAATAGAAAAAAGCGAGACGGATAAAAGTATCGATTAGGGGACCAAGCTCCAATGATCTTGATCTTAACATATGTTGTCAAGATCATGACCCTAAGAATCTCTAACAAGTTTTACGCTTAAAGCCGTAATCACACTACAGACTCCCGACTCTGATTCCCAACTCAAAATCTATCGAATAGAGTGATTTCTATTCTCGAGTCGACAGTCAGAGTCGGCTGCTGCCTTGCTGTGATTGGTAGAATGATAGTCGGGAGTCTGAGTCAGTAGTCGAGTTAGAATCGGGAGTCTGTAGTGTGATTACGGCCTAAGGCCCAGTTACACAACTGACGGTTAACTCATAACCGAGGTTCAACTTATTCATTGTCTCTTTTCAATTTTAGAATTGGAAAAAGATGAGAATCAAGTTGAACCTCGGTTAAGAGTTAATCATGAATTGTGAAATTGGGCCTAAAGGTCTCTTTTACCAACTTCGGTTAAGTTAACCGACGGTTACATGGGGCTTATTTATACCCATTTCCACCAATGTAGATTGACTTTAATCTCGGTTCAACTTACTCTTCGTCTTTTTCTAATCTTTAGAATTAATCTTTATGAATAAGTTGAACACCTCGGTTAAGAGTTAACCGTCAGTTGTGAAACTGGGCCTAAAGGCTACTTTTATCAAGCTCAGTTAACTTAACCAGCCTAGTAACTGTAATGAAATAGAAAGAGATAGAAATAGTTCTATAGGCTGGTTAAGTAAGCTGACGATGGTGAAAGTGGCCTTAAGTAGAGATTGGCCAAAGCTCGAATCCAGCATGATGTGAAACTGGAAATAATGTTTTGGAAGTACGCGCTCCACGTTTTTAGAAGATCTCTAAGGTGCGGTCGGGAAGACGCTATTAGCGCTATTTGTTATTTTATCCTTGTTTTACATCTAATAAACAACGAAGATAGAATAATAAAAGTAGCGCTAATAGTGTTTTCCAAACGCACCATAAGCGCGCATTTCCAAAACACGTCATTTCCGGTTTCATATCCGGTTTCACAAGCCGGAGTTTTGGCCAATCTCTATTTAGAAGATCTCAAAGAAAGTGTGTATTCTTCTAGATCATTCTATCAGACTTTTAGCTTAGAAGAATACATCAATAGAGTAGCAAGCGCTCATTCAATTACTGAGTTTTGAACGTAGCCAATGACGCTCTACTGTTGGTAAAACGTAGAACATGTAACATATCATCAATCCATTGCCACGCCAGCCTAAAACACTTGTTAACTCGCATAAAAAGTGAGGTTATAAACCTGTGTTATACAATAACTAATTCATCAGTAAGTACGTCTGAATATAAAATACCTCACATAATTTTAGACTCGTCTGTATCACTTGTGTAAAAATGGAAAGCAACTTGTGTTTATTTCGTTTTCATGAAATGTAATTACAGAAAATATATTTTGTATTTTCAGTTATGAGCCTGTCGATCACAAAACTTATTCAATAATGTGCTTTTGATTTCCTGTTTCTTGTTTTTTGCCATTTTTTATACCTTGAGCTAAATTCATAAACGTTGCTCAAGATTCGAGATGGTCTTAAGCTAGCGCATGAACCAATCAGAGAGCTTATTAGCATCTCAAAATATTGCTTTTGAGATTAAGGACGGACTATTCCGGCTCCTGTCTTTTTATCTCTTATCTTATTTCTCGTTTTCTGTGGCCCAAAATAAAAGTTAATAAACTTCAGAAGAAACATAGCAAGAAATACATTCTTGATAATCGCAAAGGAGTAAAAAGCAAGAAAGATAGAAAACAATTAAGAGCACATAATTGTATATGATCGGTTTAATTAAAAAATTCACAGGTGAACTGCATTATTCGGCTCACAGTTTCGCATCATTGTCGTAGATAATAGGAAAAAAAATCAGTATGTGTGAAAAGGGTCTTACTTTAGTACAGAAAAATTACTATACAATGAGATATAAGATCTTGGAAATTTTTATAGTTTTTCGTAGATATATATTCGTAATCGGACGTAGAGTGGCGTTGAGAGCGGAAGATTTCTTGGTTTTTCAAACAAATGACTCTACGTCCCATTATAAATATTTATGAAAAACTAAAAATTTCTAAGTTTTTATTGTCTCAATCAATACAGTTTTTCGTAAAAATTTTTCCGCCAGTCTCATTACTTTGCCCTGAATAAAAAAATAAAAAGATCAGAAGGAATTAGCATTAAAAATATGCGTTAACAACCTATATAATTCATCATAAATTATATATATATATATATTTTTTCCTTTATTATATATTATTCTAATATAAGAATATTTATCTTGTAACGATGGTCGCGTGTGTCCCTGGCAATACTTAATCAATATGTATTGTTATAAGCGCAACTTTACTCATTTTTGTAAAAAAAAATCGCATTTGCTCATTATCATATCCGAGTTATCTGAACTACATTTTACCGAGCCAATACTACATCTCGTGCACTCGTGTTGCTTCGTGTAAAATGTTAGTTTCCCGAAACTAGCGCACTCTAGCGATGTTACGAGGTTAGGTATAGTTCCAACAGTTGCAAGTTTCTAAGAGTTGCAAGTCTCTCGTGTGAAAAGGTACTAATTACGTCTTATAATAATACTTTTCTGTAATCTAATTATAAGATATAAACAGGACTTCAATAGAAAGATTATGTCAGGCTCCAATATTAAGAATTGTAGCTTCTTACATATGTGGACATGGCACATATCTCACTCATGATCCTTCGCATTGAAACTATGTCCATGTTCATAGTGAAACCTTATATTTACAGCTTCCTTAAATTTATCTTTAGATAGGCCTACAAATTATTTTATTGGCTACTAAACATCTCAAAATAAATTTAAGGATGCCTCAAATATAAGGTCTATTGGTCTGTTTTCTGTTCCTGCGCTAGAATTCTTTTAACAAATATTAAACATACACTTATTTTACTTTTCCAAAAGTATATTTAATTTAGTCACAGAAAACAGACCTTATGAGTACAGACATTATTTCACATTGTAAGGATATATTCACACAAACTTGCATATTCGCATAAACATATGCATAAAGAAAATTATTCAATCGCATTTCTCTTATAAAGTCACACATAAAGTGCGATTGGATAATTTTCTTTATGCATACGTTTATGCAGCTATGCAAATTTATGTGGATATACTCTAACACATACTTATGCTGTGGGACATAATATTATATATATATATATATATAATAAATAAAATGTTATCTACTTTATTTCAGGTACTTTGTGTCACGTGATATCATGAGTGAGATACTGTTAATACAAATGATTATCTAAGGAAAGCAAATAACATTACAGATCCATAAGTATCTTTAGTTTCCATATTTGTGTTACCAGGTATGATATACATTGAAGGTAATCCTCTCTTTTTGGATGTAATTTAGATTGTTATATACAAATGATAAATATGTAAATATAAATATATCATATAGATCAGGCCAGATTTTAGGAACTGTAAACTGTTGATAAGAGTCACTTAAATGCGTATCAACACTTTACAGAACACTTTACAGTCACCAATGTAAGGGATATACAAAAATATAAAGCATCTTTTAAACAATTAAATATATGCATAGAAATATATATTATATATTAACTTAATTAACTTTTTTTGCTTGTTGGCTATAATTACTTATTTTATTACTAAATGTATATTATATCTTGATAGTATCCTAACTTATTTATCAGAGCACATGCATCCAACTGTAACAAATTGCATTATGAAACGCACATCTAATATTCCCATATAAATTCCAGGATCTTTGGGTTGGAGGGTCTCTTATTTGGATTTACTCCAATCAATAGCACCATAAAAAATTTAGTGATTGCATTATCCTGTGAAACCAATGGTATTGAGCTCTATATTACATTATTATATCGTGTTAAGTTACAATGTAAAAATTTTCATTAGGCTGCATAGTTGACATTAATAAGTCGACATTAATAAAATGTTAATTGACGCCATATACATCTATGGTTAAACGTTGTGACCAAGCACAAATTGTTTCAATGACTTTCCACTATGGCAGCTCTATCATGCACTATTTTATCGACAGAGTGCTCGCGTTCAAGAAATCAAGAGACATCATGGCTGAAAAATGTACATACACCTTGTGATTTGCAGCAATGTGTTAATTCATTTCATTGAATTCCATATATAACAGATATGCTATAACAAATATCTATGGTAAAAAATCAAATATACGTAAAGATAAGAGAGGAAAGAAGAGAGAGAGAGAGAGAGAGAGAGAGAGAGAGAGAGAGAGAGAGAGAGAGAGAGAGAACAATGTCAATTCTTTTCATTAAGTTGCATATATGACAGATATGCTGTAACAAATACCCATGATAAAATTGGCTTTAAATTCCATAGATAAAAAACTTGTGCATTTATGGTGTTGATTAATAGAGCTAATAAATATGTAGGAAGAAGCTTATTTTCTAGTATCTTGTGTAGTGATATTGTGAAAACATTGACTAGATCATTGTGATAGTTTACAATTAATGTAATCTTGCAGGATTTATTAATATAAGACTATAAAACTGCATCTCAATATGAAAATGATATTTAATATCTTTTATCCAAGATAGGCAATTTGTTTTCAGGATCGTTTTAGTACACGGTCCGTACGCATTGGACCAAAAGTGCATAAGAATAAAAATATTGGGGACAAATGGGGATTAGAATATCACAAAGCTGTACAGGATGTTGTATTTAGCCAGCATTGTTTACCCTTCATGCCAACAGAACCATCAGCATCCTTGAGCGAAGATATTGTAGAATCTGGTCCATTATATGTGTGCAGACATTGCAGAGATTGGTGAGTTGGAATAAAGTATTTTAACGATTGCGTTAAAATGCGACGGAATTTTATGATTTATTTTATTATGTAACTATAACGCGTGTATGGATGATTTTTGTTTCAGTTTTCGTTTTCAAAGTAGTTTTGAGGAACACAATGCACGGCATTGTTGGATTTTAGGGCTTTGGTGTCGTTATTGTTTCGATACAGTATGTAATCATCCAGTTACCAGAAAAGGTTATACAAAATGTTCTGAATGTTTAGAAAAAGATAGTAAAAAACGCGCATATTTAGTATCAAGAAGTAGTATTTCAAGTAGACAGTTACGAGTGGGAGTTATAAAAGTATTCTACAATCAGTGCCAATTTATCGATCACATGAAAATGCATCAATTAAGCATGGTAAATATGGGTGATTTAATGTTAATTCCTCTACCTACTGACATAAGCAGTAGTGATTGGTCTTCTGAATTTGAGATACTGTGTGAAGCACTCATGGAAGTGGCATTTTTGTTACGCATACATATTATAGATTGGTTAAAGGAGCATAACTTGCAAGATAATTGGTGGAAACTGATTAATGGCAAAAGTAATGACGCTAAGATAAAGGAAATTGTCGATAAGTACCATGGTCGACAATTATTCAAACCTTCCTATAAGACAATTACCGATATATTTACGAATTCCAGTTCTAACATTACATATAATGTTAGAAGCTCCCCGGATATTGAATTTATTGATAACGATTTCATAGATAATAATACAAATAATTCTGTTGATTTAATCAAAGATAAGAATATCGTAGAAAATGAAGATAATCCATGTACATCAACTGATATTACTTTTGTGGATTGCGGTCCTACTTCACAACATTTTGAACCAGAAATACCAGTAAATCGTAAGAGAACACAACAATTAAAAACTTATCGCCCAGCTAATACTATCAAAATAAATAATAAAATGATGTATGAAACTTCTAAGAATCGCAACTCACACGAAACAAATACGATTCATGAAAATGTTATAAAAAAACCTACTGAGAACAATCTTAGTAATCCTAGTAATATAACCAAAACTGGCGTTAACACAATTATGAACAATTCATTTAAGATTAGTATCCCATTTTCTTCTAAGACAAGTTCAATAATTAAGACTAATTTAAATCAGTCGACACAAACATCAAATAATAAGATATTAAATGTCCAAGATCCAAAGAATATTACAATAATTAACCAATTTCCATCTCAGCTTATTTCCAACCAGAAAATAGTTCTCGTTAAACAGAATTCACATAATGTCGTGTCTCGCAGCAATAATGAATTGACTACTAAAACAAATTCAAGTAACTCAGTAGTAGATAATAACGGTTCCAATACATCAACACAGAAGAGATCTTATTCCAATGTCAAGAAACAAGAATCGGATGAAAAAATTATAGTAAGTAATGGACAAAAGTACGTCATTAAACGTATAAAAAACGCCACGAAAGCTACGAAACAACTGACGTCTGAACATAACATTTCAAAGCCAAATGTTTTAAAGCCTACTAATTCTAACGAAGTCGAAAACGGCACACTACAAACTACTTTACCTCCCAAGAATGTTTCCATCTCAACACCTTCGCCATCTCCTAAATTATCCAATAATGAATCACATGTTAACAAAACTTCAATTATGCCAAAATTACAAAAAATGCCTCCGCATTTAATTCCAGTATCTGCCATGCATCCGAGATATATGTCGGAAATAATATCATTGATTAAAGAAGATAATGGACATCTTTATATGGATGTAAAATTAGTAGATCGTATTGCAAAAGAAAGCCTTCTTGCTGTGTGTGATGTAATAACAAAATATAGACGAGAAATGTTTAATGAATTTTATCAAATGAATAGCTTGGAATTGAATAAACGGCTGGAGCATTTGCAATGTATTACTGATGAAATGAAAAATGTTATGAACTTCATATCAGACCACGTTTTTCAAGAAAAATTAAGAGCTGTTAATACTATCAAATGCATATTAGAAGAATGTCTCAATAAATCTAACCAGAATGTACAGGATAAGGAAATGAACGATGATATAATATTAAACGAATGGGAAATAAAGATAAATCGAGAGCATAAATGTCTATCATGCTATAGATATAGGAAACCTGAATCATATATAGTTGGCTTTTCAAAATTGGCTATGAATGAGAATAATTATTGTTCTTGCTATAAAGAAGTTTGTCAAGATTGTCAATCTTACCAAGGTAGTGTTTCACGATTTGTCGCACATCAAAACTTCCATAAGAAGAAAAAACCTTTTGTTTGCCCAGACTGCGATTCCAAGTTTAAGTCTTCTATATCTTTAGAAGTTCACACATGGACTGTTTGCTTTCATACATTGAGAAAGATCACATTTGGTTGTAAAATTTGCGAAATAGATGGTTTTAGAGATTTAGAATCAATCACCAGACATTTTGTTGTCATGCATTGCAATACAAAAATTGGTTGCGAAGTTTGTAATCGAGTATTTGCCTCGTATAATGAGTACATACAACATCGTACAAAGACACATCCGATAACGACGCAGCACAAGCCAATACGATTAGTAATATATAAATTAAGTAATGTAGTCTTACGTTGCGAGAATTTCATGCCATATTTGGAGAAGAACCCTGTAATTCGAAAATTAATATGGTTTAAATGTCCTTTTTGTCAGTTAATAACTACAGATAATAAACATGTGGCGATGCTATTGAACACTCATTTACGAAACAATCATGTAGAATCCTTATCAGAAATTCTTAGTGATAAAGCATTTACTTTAATTTTCGGTTTTAAAATGACAAAAGCTGTTATTTTAAATGCTGAAAAATCTCTTTTGAGTGGTACCATAGTACCTAAAATCGTAAATACTCAAACTATTAGTTCAGAAATATTTGAACGTGGCTCTCAAAATATGGAACATGTATGGCCTACAGATACCAAGAAGGTTAACGAAAGTTCAGCAGTGAAGAACATTGAAGATAAGGAAAAAGGACAATTATTGCCAAAAATAGTCAGCGTTGTATCGATGAATGATTTAAAGCCATCCAAACCTGAGAAAGCAATCACGAAAATTTTAACTGAAACGAAGGCGAAGTCTCCTTTTTTTCAACTTATAGTTAACAATGACGGAAAAATGGTCCCACATGAAGAAACAGTAATAGAATTAAATGATAGCAAATCTAATAACAAGAAAAAGACAACAGAGATAATAAAGATTGGAAAAGATACCGAATTGATAATGAATACTTCACACATCTCCGAATTTGAGAAAAAGCCTTTATTAATGGACATAGTTAGTATTCCAAATTCGTCAATTGTATCGAATGAAAAAGTTTCAAGTTCCATATCCGAAGCAATTACAGATAACTGTATAAAAATAGTTGATATTAAAACAATATGTAAATCGAGCATCGAGTCACTCGTTACAGAAATGTGCGATACACAGACAAAAGATGAAAATGCAAGCAACGTGGGATTCATGCCAAAACCTCCTCCGCTTGCCAGGATCCCACAGCATTTACTTAAACCTATGGAAATTAAGTCGAAAAGTGAGCCGACTAATGACTCAAATTCAAAATCAGAGTCTCTCGTCCAAAAAGCTGATACCAACTCAAAAGTGCGTATCGCCGTAGGATCGCAAAAGGAAGAAGTTAATTACCTATGCCACTTATGCAAAGAACGGATTAATACTTCTCAATCCATAATGGAGGCACACTTTCGTGAAAAGCATTCAGATGAGTACAAAGTGACGATAATCACTCCGCGATTATCACGAATGTCACATAACTTTATTAATGGCGACTATAAACAATTTATTAATAATAGGAAACGAAAATCAGATAACACTTTATCTGTAACTAAAAGAAAACGTCGATGGACGCAGAGAAAACATACAGAAATAAAGGATACGAACCCACCAGTAGGATTATGTGTCAAGCAAGAAACGGCAGAGGACGATGAAGGCAATTTTATATGCAAGAAATGTGGTCAACAATGCTCTGACATATCCAATTTGAGAAAGCATATTGCTGCCAATCATCGACTAAAGGGCCGTTACCTGATATGCTTAGAATGTGGCGAGAACTTTGTGGTTGCACCCAGCTTGCAGATGCATCTTAAAGCTTTTCACGGCATAGAAAATCCTCTCAATTATATGAATCAAAATCCCTCTTACGCTCCTAGTCTTGACAGTGACTTGCAAACGGAAGAGAAAACAACGGTAGCTAATCAGTGCTATGTCTGTATGGCAGTTTTCGAAGATAAAGCTGCAGTAGATAAGCATCTGAGGGTGCATGGTATGGCTTTCTTGAATCGTAAGAGGATAGAGGCAAGAAATGCTTTGGAGAAAAAGGCCAACGTGGAGAAGAGTAAGCAAAATGTTAAAGATTCAAAGGAGACTGTAAAACAAGACAAACCGGTGAAAGCCATCTTAGACAAAATTAGTGTAAGTAATTAAATAATTAATGTAATTAAATTCATTTGTTGAAAGTGACGTTATTGATTTCATAATGATCAAATTATATGAACGTTGATTATTTTAGGCGGCAATATAGTTACAGAAGATGAAACGTATAAAAGAAAAAAAATACGTGGAAGGGAGCAATGCTGTAATATGATGGATTCATTAATCTTACTTATATGCTCATTTCTGTATATTTGCGCGCCGAACCCTTCATTATTATCACTAAATATTGCATCAGTGAACCATTAGAGTTCTTTTTTTCATTATCTTGTAATATATTACTTTTTTTGTAATACTATTTAGGTAAGGAGGTAGAAAATGATTTATTATTCGTTAGGACGTAACGCTGCGAGCGAGATAGTAATAGAATTAGATAATAGATAAGTCTGACAAAAAGCAACAAAAGCTTAATATTCTAATTTATCTATTTTTTTTTTTTTTTTAATATTTTGCTATGTTATATGTATGTATATATATATAGTATATATATATAGTATATATATATAGTATATATAGTACATATTGTCTAATAATAAAGTACTATGTTACATTAATAAACTCTGACATATAATCAACTCTTATTTTTTTGTGTAAATATATGTAAAAATATATTTATAAGAAAAATAAAATAAAATGAGACTGGCAATCTTTCGAATATAGTTTATTTTAATATTTACTGTAAGTCCATTTATTCTGAATAAGTTAAAGTTAAGTTATAATTTTTATGTAAGTGTTAATGTAAGTATTAAATTAAATATAAATAATTTTATATAAGTATTAAACGTTTGATATATGTAAATAGACATGCAATATCCCGAAACGTCAAACTACTGAAATTAAAGACGACAATGTGTCTCGGAAAGTTTTAATTCAAAAAATTAGAGCATAACCACCCAGACAACACATTGAGACATAAGACGTCTTTTAGACGCCAAAGATGTCTTGTGTCTCTCTTTTGGATACTTTGTGTTGTCTGGACAATATCGAAAAACAATTTTTTGGGACATTACATGTCCATCAGTTCTTAAGATCTATTTAGTCTGATTAATTTGACATTCGAGATACAATCTCTCTCCTGATTAAAAAAAATATGCTGATTTATATAAGATATAAGAAAATGTAAATAATTGTAACAGAGTATAATGCATTTACGGAGTAATACCTTTTTGTATTATATTTAATTAGTTAAATATTTTCTGACTTTGGTATATAAGAATGAAAAATTCTTATACTAGTGAACATTTATCGCATTAATCGTCTTTTATTGAAGGACTGTGGGATGAATGCTCAATGTAATAAAACAAAAATGAATAGAATATATATAGTTCTTTATATATTATATCATTCTTATTTGCACAATGCTGATTATTGCTTAATCGGTAAAGTATTTTTTATTGATTGACACATCAAGATATCCGAGTTACGGAACCAGTCGGATAGCACTTTGGAAGGAAACCGTTTCCTCACCATTTGCCTTATCTACATATTTATACGTATATACTCGGCATGAAAATATCGGTACGTTTCAATACATGTTCACGTATGTTACAAATAAAATGTGGCATTCTTATTTTAAATCGCTTTTTCGAGCAGATATATTTTCATTGCACATGAGCGCAGGTACTAGAGAAAGGGTTTGGGGCACTGAACACTTTGATTGCAGTCCCGTAAGGGTATTTACAGTTTGTCCTTTCTAAAATACTTTAAGAGTTTTAGAGTTGTGAAAGTATTCTATCTTGGAATATTCGATATGAATATATCATTAATTACAAATAGAGTATTTTAAAGTGATATTGAAGTTTTCCATTTTGATCTCTGTTACTCTTCTTACTTATTATAAGGTAAGGTAAAACTAATGCATTTTCTAAAACAATATACCTTTTTTATACAAGTTATATCAGAAGGGGGCCAAGATTACTCAATTTATTCCATTACAAAAAAAATAGAAGGATATCATAGATGTTGGTCCCTTTTATAATCCTCCAAGACAAACGTATACTCTTACGGGTCTTAAAATTTGCTATTCTTTTCTTTTTTCTCTTTTTTTTTGGCACAGTTACTAGCGAACACACATGTTTAATATTACATTGCGATTGGTTCATGATCAACGCATTTAGTTTACACATACGCCACTTTGGAGAGTCTCCGCACAATCATGACGCACTATCCCGCTTATTGATTTGAGCACGAATAAAGTCAATTCTCACGTCAAGTTGAGCCGGATGTCCATATTGTCTTTTCCCTTTGGCAATCTATATTGCATTGACAGTGTCGATTTTATAGCGTTCCACTGCGCACAGTTTCCGACTGAATCATATAACGCTTAATAAATAATTGTAACGTTAAACAACATTAACACTATTTAACGTTAGATTTTGAATTGACTATCGAAAGATCTACCCGGTTTTTAATATATTGATTTAAAGCTAGCTAATATATGCTATATTTTATTACTGTTATTATTATATATAATTTTCATATATTGCACAAACTCTGTTACGAAAATCCTAGTACATAATGCGCCCCTAATTACTTTAATTATCTCTTTATCACGCTGCATGATAATTTTCCTTCGTCTATCACACGAAACATTTAAATAGAAATTTTCAATTCGTGTTAGATTGTCTAAGCGGCTACGGTAATTAGGAATTTTGATAGAATTGCTGCCCCACTTTCGAAAGGACTTCGAAATATTAGATGTTGCAAATAGAACACGAGAAAATCAACGTAAGTTCCTCCCTCGTATATCTTTTCTCTCTCTTAAACTTTAATACACTTTATATCACTTAGACGAAATTGTCACATGCACAATATTTTACGTTACAGGAGTCGATCGCTTCTCTTCGCAGGAAGTACCGACATTACTGTCGACATCAGTATTCGATTCCTCCCCTGGATTATCCATATCGATTACCGAGATCATTGGGCTCGTTGGACGAGGCTTTGATTCTTGACGGAAGTTCGGTACGATATCGTATCGAGTCTCTGAGGTGGAATCGTTCTTTAAGGATGCAGAATCACCGATTATCTTCATGGACGAAGAGGACGACGAACTCGACTGTATCGCCTTCAGTTCATATTCGGCGGGACTGACTGCCTCTTCGCTGTCGTTTTCTCTGAATAGCTTTCTCAGATCGCTGCCCAGTCTTGTATCGATTGGACTCATCTTTGAATCTACGGGGATAGTTAAGACTAAAGAATCCGGTGGTTTCTTGACTCTGACAGTATTGGCCTCGCTGAAAGAAACCTTGACCTCGCTTGCGGTCCACACGTCGGAGTTGGGACTGCACGAACCACGAGTTGTTGTTTGGGTAATCTTCGGTTTCGTCGCATCATCCATCGAATGCCAACGATGCGGTCTCGTAATTGATGTACCTTGTGCAATAGCGCTTAAACTGTTCGCTGGAATTATTCGATGAGGAAACCGAGGTGAGCCCCGTATTTTTTCTCGAGAAGATGACTGACTCGTGCTCGTCTCTGAAACATTTAACATCGTAATGTTTGAATTTAGAAATTTTCTTTTCAAAACGTCTTTATGAATTTATTACAAGATATATTATAAAAGCAGATAAATGAAATGAGACAATGGACTAATGGAAATTGGCGCTATTATTATTAATTAATAAATTATAAATTAATAGTAATTGCGCTATTATTTCATGAATCAAATATTACAAATTTGTATATAAAAATATAGAAGTTTCGGCTAATCTTTTAGCCATCTTCAGTATAACATTACAAAAAGTCGATGATATAAGTTAACGTAAATGAGTAGTCATGAGAACCACCACTCTTCCATACCACTTAGACAGCTGGATCGTGCCAGTCGATTGATTGATCTTTAAAGACAACGAGGTCAGAATTTAAAACGGATGAGATTAAACATAGAAAAATAACTAACTCACTTCACTGGATTAAATTACACTATATTAACCGCATACATGTCAAGTACGTTGTACCGACTATGATGTATAGTCAATATTTAAGAACAAGTATTTTTTAATAGAAAAATTGAGTTATAGCATTAAATTAAGCGAAGGTATGAAACATGTGTACTCGTTGTCATGTCAAAATTTAAACTAAAGGAATTACAAGCTTGAACATTAATATCATTTACATATTTTTTGTAACGTTATACTGACGATTGCTAAAAGATTAGCCAAAACGTCTATATTTTTATATACAAATTTAATATTTGATTCATGAAATAATAGCGTAATTACTACAGCGCCAATTCCCATTAGCCCATTGTCTCATTTCATTTATTTACATTTGCAATTTTGGGAATTTGTTTCTAATATTAATTATTTAAGATATATTATGCAATAAAATAGACATTAAAACCACATCTTTTCTTTCTCTTTTTGAGAAAGAAAACGATGTTTTCGTATCGAAATTGAATATAAAATTTAATGAATAAATGTATGAGTTTATGGAAACTTGTAAAATTACAACGTACGTGGTATTTCTGTAAAGGTAAAAATGTTTAAAATAAAATGCATATTTAATTAAGATAATATATTGAAGAGTCAAGTTACTTACGTGGCGGTAGACTGAAATTTACTTTAGGCTCGCTACTTTCCTTGCGACGTAGTCCTACTAGGCTTAACCTACGGTCTTCCTCGCTAGTAATGCTAATTATTGGTCCTGAACCGCATCGTGTATGAGGCGAATGAGTGCCTTGGGCATCGACTTGGCAAGTAGAGGCAGCTTTCGCGCCGGGCACTAAACCAGCGATGTAGCCCATATGGACTCGAAGCGCTGATGCAACTCCTAATGAAGGTAATATAAGCAGGATAAGCTGTATAGGTATATTAAATATGTGGATGAATTATAGGAAATGCGAGAGTGAAACAGGAAATATACGAATCACATTTATTTCAAAATACGAAACCTATATGTTATACGCAATAACCTCCCTTCCTCTCTTTTCCATCAATTCACAAACGATTATGGACCGCAACATGAATCGAATTCAAATAATTTACATTTATTTCTCGCAAGCATTTCACGACTGAACAAAAAGGGAAAATTATTCCTATACAATAGGCAGACGGACCCAATTCCAATTTTAACTTTTATTTCTTTCCGCAGTTGTAACGACGTGCTTTTGTAAAAATGTTCCTTTGTGAGAGAAAACTCGCTTCTGACGTTGCAATATACATATATAGTTAAATTGTGTCTATATCACACCGCTTTAAGGTGTAAAGTGCTTCTATTCTTTCATTTTTTAGCGCTTTCCCTTACCGGTGAACGATGCTGTGGAGGTCTTTCTGCTACTCGGTCTGCTGCCGAAGAGACTGAAGAGTCGTTGAAAAACGCCCAGCCGATTTGGACCCTCGGTCTCCCGGCGACGGTGTAGCTTGTAAAGGTCGGCCAGGCTTTGTCTGGGATCGCCGGGCTCCAGATCCGGTTGACTGCTAAATGCTACGGTACCGCGACGTATGCCTAATTTCAACAAGGGTCAAACTCGTACATGACGCGGAACCACCATTATGGGTCGAGCGATCATTATGATGGACATTATTAATTGAGACCTTGGTTTCTATCTAGCTGTCGGAATTCCGCATAAGCCACGAAAGCGCGCACGAGTTTAGACTACATTTATGCGGAAGTGAGTCATGAATCCAATGAATATTCGCGCTCGCAAATGGAATATTCCTCTATTATTTGAAAAGAGACATCCATCTACCTCTAATAAATGCATGATAATTCCGCGGTTACCTACGAATCAAGAATCTTTTTATATCTATTTTGATCAATTTGCATTATTCATTTAGTGAAACAAAATGTGAGTACTCCAAATTTTTCTCTATATTAAGTGCAATCCACTTGGCACTACAAATGCTTGAAGTTTCTGATTAATTAATCGGAAGAAAGAATTTTACTAACTGTTTTGAAGCATTTTTTCATTGTATCATCAAGTGGACCATAGTCATAGTGAGATTAGTATTTTTTTTTATTTCCGTGCTGTTCTAATCGATTTACGACTGCAGGTTTAGTATGAAAATAGTCTTTATAGTAGAAACATGGTGGAAGAAGGTGTTTTCTTCCATCATGAGTAGAAGAAGAAGGAGGGAAAATATGTATATATGTGTCTCTCGTAATAATAAAACTTTAAAGCGTATCTATTATTTTCTTTGTTCTAAGTATTTTCGAAACAGTATAATTAGCTGAAATATTCTGCAATATTACTATATATATATATATATATATATATATGTATACATATATATAAAATATGTATCAATGCGCAACCTGTGATCCACTGGCTCATAGTAGAAAATATAAAATCATATTTTCTATTGTGTGCAAACGAAATAATCCTATAAACGTATAATATTATTTAATATTAAGCAATACTTTAGGCACATTCTTAGAATATTGAATGTAATGTTTTAATAATATTTTGTTAAAATTATATAATATTAAATAATCCTAAAATATTAATGGATGGTTATATGTCCACTCCTGGTAATGTTATATGATTATTAAAAGTAACATTATTTAATGTTACTGTAATATTGTATGAACATTAAAAAGTATTTTAGTAACATTTATTTTAATTTATAAAACTGTTACCACAGTTCAGTTTAAGATTAAGTTGAAAGACTGAAAATGATTTTGACGCGCAGTTGTAGAACTGGATATGTACATAAAATCACACCGAAATGTTATTTAAGATGAAGCATAAACTGATGAGACCTTTTCGTCACTTATTGTGAATTCAAATTATACATATATGAAAATAATATTAATAAATATTTTAATAATATTTTATATTATTGGTATATTACTTTATTGGATATTAAAGGCCAATGCTATTATATAAAGTGGACATATTACATCTATAGAATATTTCCATAATATTAAAAAATATTATATAATATCGAAATATTATATTATTTTAATTTAAAAAAAATAATATTCATATAATATTCATATAATATTCTAGAAATATTTTACGCTTATAGGGAAATACTAATTTTGCGACTTGCAAGATCGATTTTACCTATTTTAAAAAATGGCTCTCTGAAAATGACCCTTAAGAAAGGTTGCACATAATTGCCACTCAAAACTTCGTCTTAATTAGCCGAGAAGATTTAAAAGACTAATAGTTAATCGTAAATTGTGTAAATTCAAAACAAAAGCGTACAATTCGTATCTTCAACATAACTTACGAGGGATGTTTGTTATTCAGATAGTGGTTACTTT